AGTGATGAGAGAGAATCATTGATTGGCTACCTCCTGCTTGCCCCCTACTGGGGATCGAGCCCAAAACCCAGGGCATGTGCCCTTTACCGGAATCGAACCTTCAGGCTGCAGGCTGGCGCTCTATCCACTGAACCAAACCAGCTAGGCGTCATTAGTCTTTAAAAAAATAAAAAAATTTTTTTATTGATTTCAGAGAGGAAGGGAGAGGGAGAAAGAAATGGAAACATCAATGATGAGAGAGAACCATTGATTGGCTGCCTCTTGCATGTCCCCTACTGGGGATCCAGAGCACAACCAGGGCATGTGCCCTTGACTGGAATCGAACCTGGGACCTTTTAGTCTGCAGGCCGACTGAGTCAAACCAGCTAAGGCTAGTCATTAGCCTTGTACTGACTTGTTTGGTGTGCGCAACAGGAAATATTTCGCTTTCGGAGAACAAGAAAAATAGGTTTATTTGTGTTGCACTTATTAATTTGTGCAGTTATTCAGTGTCTGGTAAGTTAAAGTTCAAGAAAAATTATTAATTTATATTAAAATGTTGTATTATTTTATGTTAACGATTAATCATTTATTTCAGCCCTTTGTATTCAGCATGTCTCTATCAAAACAAACCTACATTTCTATGAAAATTGAAGCTTTTGTTTTTTTGCGGCACACATAAACTTAAACCTTGTTTATTTGGCCCGTGTTAGCCTTTGAGTTTGACATGCTTGTTCGAGAGAGTATAATTTACAGGTCAGAGAAACCTTGGACTAGATGTTTCCTAAGGCCTCTTCTATCCAGGTTGTCACCATTCTTGGATCTCAACTTACCCATACTACCTCCTCTATCACATCTCTTTTGGACTCCTCTGGTGGTTCACTTTCACCACATTTTTCCTTTAATCTGCACAGTGCCGGCCAATGAACAAACACCATACAGAATAGGGGTCCTTGTCCATCAAAAGTGAGCTTCATCCTGTAGTGCTGATTAGATTACTGCCAAACTAGCTAAAACATTAAATGCCAGGACTAAAAATAGGCTGCTGCATGTTTAAAATAACATGATCACTAGTTAGCTTGGGGCTTTGCTATTTTTACTGAAGGAAAGACAGAGACAAGTGGCCAGGGGTTGAAAGGAAATTACTTAAACGAGGAGGCTGCTAAATGAGGTGAGAGCCTAGGAAGAAGCCAGAAGGTGGCACAATTGTTCAACATGCATCAATGGGTCTCTGAGAATTAAACTAAAAATTTTGGTCTGAACACTCAAAAGAACTTCCCAGGCACATTTTGTCTTGATTTGTTGCAAAATCCAGAATTGTGACATTACCTGATGTCAGAAACCAATATGACAGGCCAAAAAGATCAAATTAAGAGAAGTTTCTCTATTTTTATTTTTAACTTTTTACTGAAGTATAGCATTCACACTGAAATGTACACATATGTGTACTGTACAACTTTATGAGTTTTCATAAATAACACACCAACATAGCTAGCATCCAGGTAATGAAACAAAACACTACCAGAACCCTAAAATTCCCTCTTTAAACCCTTCCAGTTGCTATCCCTGTCCACAAAAGGGCATCTACTATGGTGACTCCCATGATAGTTTACCTTTGCCAAGTTTTGTACTAAATATATTAAATATACTTTATTGTACCTGGCTCTTTATGTATCATTCATCAATATTGTTGCATGCACATTGCAATTGTATATTGTTGATTCCCAGTGCTATATAGCACTTCAGTGAATGAATGTACCACAGTTTACTTATCCATTATACTGTTGGTGGGCATCTAGATAGTTTCTAGTTTAAGGCTATAATTAATAGTGCTGCTATGAACACTCTAGTATAGATCTTTTGATGAATATATGTATATATTATAGTTGGATATACTCCCGGAAGTGGAATTACTAGGTCTCCAGGTTCCAGGGAAATGGAATTGTTGGATCCACCTCAGTGAAATTTCCTGGAGTCCAGTGAAATAAGAGCTATGCCTCCAAAGGTGAAAGATAAGTTGTTGCATCTGGCCCTTTATGCAACCAAAAAAGAGGCACAATGCCTAGGGGTCCTTTTTAGATTCTGGAGTCCACATATTCCTCATTTCAGTGTAGTTCTCCAGCCCATTTACCAAGTGACCTGAAAAGCTGCTGGTTTTGAGAGGATCTCAGAACAAGAGAAGGCTCTGCAACAGGTCCAGGCTACTGTGCAAGATGCTCTGCCACGTGTACCATATGATGCAGCCAATACAATTAACTGTACTTGAAGTTAAGTGGTGTATAGAGATGCTGTTTGGAGCCTGTTGAATCACAGCACAGGTTCTTAGGATTTTGGAGCAAAGCACTGCCATTCTCTGTGGATAACTAATCTCTCTTTTTGAGAAAAAGTATTTGGCTGTTACTGGGCATTAGTAGATACTGAATACTTAACTATGGGCCACCAAGCTATAACAGGAGCTGAGTTGCCCATCACGAATTGAGTGTTGTCTGGTATACCATGCCATAAAGTTGGCTGAGAAGAGCAACACTCCATTATCAAATGCAAATGGAATATATGAGATTGGGCTGAGCAGGCCCTAAAGGCATAAATAAATTATATGAGGAAGTGGCCCAAATATCCACACTCCTGTTACATAGCCTCTTTCTCAGCCTGCACTTACGGCATTATGGGGAGTTCTCTACAATCAGTTGACTGAGGAAAAGAAAAGACAGGCTTGGTTTACATTTGGTTCCACATGATATTCAAGTACCACCTGAAAATAGATAGCTATAGTACCTATAGCTCCTTCTTGGGGCAACACTGAAGGAAACAGGCAAAGAGATATCCTCCCAGTGGGACAGAACTTAGAACAGTGCACCACATTTTTCACTTTGTTAGAATTATATTCATGGACTATGGCCAATAGTTTGGCTGGATGGACAGGAATTGGAAGGGACATGACTAGAAAATTGATGACAATGAAATTTATGGAAGAGTCATGTGGATCGACTTCTCTGAATGGGCAAAAAAAAACATGAATATATGTGTCTTATGTGAATGCTCAACAGAGGATGAATTCAGCTGAGAAGAATTTTAATAAACAAGCCAATGACTTGTTCTGTGGATACCAGTTAGCCTTTTGCTCCAGTGATTGCCCAATGACCACAATAAAAGTTATGCATGGGCTCAGCAACATGACCTTCTGCTCACCAAAGTCAGCCTGACTATACCCACTGCTGAGTATCCTCTATCTGTCAGCAGCAGAAACCAATACCCCATCCCCCAAAAGGCACCTTTCCTTTGAGTGATCAACCAGCTACCTGGTGGCAGGTTGATTACACTGGACCACTTCCATCACGGAAGGGGCAACATATTATTCTTACTGGAATAGATACTTACTCTGGATGGTAATTTGCCTTCCCTGCATGCAAAACTTCTGACAAAACCTTCATCCAAGGTCTTACAGAATGCCTTATCTACCATCAAGGCATCCCACATAGCATTGCTTCTGATCAAGGGACTTATTTCAGAGCAAAAGAAGTGCAGCAATAGGCCCATGTTCATGGAATTCACTGGTCTTACCATGTTCCCCACCATCCTGAAGCAGCTGGCTTAATAGAATGGGATTGTCTTTTGAAGACAGTTACAGCACTAGCAAGGCAGCAATACCTTGCAGGACTGGGGCAAGGTTCTCCAGAAGGCAGAAAGTATTGCTCTGGATCAGCATCCAATATACAGTGCTGTTTATCCCATAACCAGAATTCAAAGGTCCAAAAATTTAGGGGATGGAATTGGAAGTGGGACCATTCAATATTACCCCTGGTGACCAACTAGTAAAAGTTTTGCTTCTTGTTACCATGACTTTATGCTTTATTGGTCTAGAGGCCTTGATTCCAAAGGAGGAAAGCTTTCACCAGAAGATACAACAATAATTCCATTGAACTGGGAGTAAAGACTGCCACTGGCCACTTTAGGCTCCCCATGCCTCTGGGTCAACAAGTAAAGAAGAAAGTTCCTGTACTGGTTGAGGTGATTGGTCCTGAATACCATGGGAAAATTGGACTACTACTCCACAATGGGAGAGTATGTCTACAATACAGAAGATCCCTTAGGACATCCCTTAGTATTACCATGCCCTGTGATTAAGGTCAATGGAAAACTACAACCCATCCAAGCATAACTAGATCCTTCAAAAATAAGATTTTATGTCACCCCCACCCCCCACCACCAGTTAAAGAACCATGACCAGCTAAGGTACTTATTGAGGGCAGAGGGAATATGGAATGGGTAGTGGAGAAAGGTAGTTATAAATACCAGTTACGACCACATGACTAAGCAAATATCTTTGTTTCCTTCCCTCTCTTATACTCTATCATCCTATATAAGATGTATTAATAATAGTTAGCTTCATAATACAGTACTTGAGTTACAGAATACCAAGGAGAAGAACATTACCCAAGGACTTTGAATCCTGTTCTGGGGAAGGAGTTAGCACATTTTTGGTTGTATGTAGGACAGTTACATTATGTTAGGACATAGAAGTATGACTTTGTGACTGTTTTTATTTGGATATTAAATATGATTTAAGGAGATGTGTATGAATGTGTAGTTGACACAGAGTGGACTGAGATGGTTAGTTGTAGTTTCAACTTGGCTAGGCTATCTACCCAATTATATTAAATACTAATCTAATTTAGGAGCTGGTGTTGCTGCAAAGGTGTTTTGTATATGTAATTAACATCTGTAATAACTGACTTTAAATAAAGGAGATTATCCTTGATAATGTGTATGGGCCTCATCCAAACAGTTGAAAAGCCTTAAGAGCAAAACTGAGGTTTCTCTAAGGAAGAAGAAATTCCTCCTGAGGACTGCATCAACATCAGCTCCTGCCCAAGTTTCCAGCCTGCCCTACAGTTTTTACCATACCTTATAATTGTACTAAGTCAAATCCTTGAAGTGTGTATTTACATCCTATTAGTTCTGTTTCTTTGGTAGAACCCTGACTGATATGACATCTACTATTCCTTACCACTATGCTATTATTAGAGATAGAAATAGAAGTCTATTATGTGGGCTCTGTCCTTGAAAACTTCATAACCTAAAGAACATAAAAAGTTATCATATAAATTATGTCAGGGAGTAGTAAATTATTAAGTGTCAAATGAGTAGCACTGAATTAAGTATTCAAGGAACTTAGAAAAGAAAAATATCTCTGTGGATTTAGGGAGTGCTCAGGACAGGCTCTGTGGAAGAAATTGGGACAAGGATCAATGGGGACTGATATGCAGTGAGGGAAGTACAGAAAAATCTAAACTTGGAGTTTAGATGGAAAGATTGAACTCCTTTCTACCACTTGGTAGGAATATGATCTTGGACAAATTGCATACTACTTTAAGCCTCAGATTCTTAATATATAAAGTGAGGACAACAGCACATATCCTGTCTATCATAAAGTCATAGTGAGAAATAAACGAGATATAACAATGTGCTTAGCTCAATGCCTGTCACAGAAAACGTGCTCAACTACTATCTCAATATCTTTAAAAAGAATGCTACTAAAAATAAGACCCAACAACACTAAATTTTAAATAGTTATAAAAGGAATCATCTTAAATACATTTTAATTCAATGGCATTAGCTAATTTTTCAAAAGATGAAGTATTTGACTTTAAAAAAATTATTTTAATGAGGTTCTGAAACCTGATCAAACTTACTATTAAAATTTTACTATTTCCACTTGTGCAAGAACTCTCAGAATGCAATTTATAACTGAACGTCCCATGTATATAAGGAATTTACAATGAAAATGTGTTTTATAGGTTTTTAAAAGTAGTTTCTGCAGTACCTTGAGGAATATCTTTAGGAAGAGAATATTTCTTCTTCTTTACAATAACACCTTTACTTTTCACTTGTCTAGTGCCTGGTGATGCTCTAATAATACAACATATTTCTGATGTATTTAAAGGAACCTGAAAAAGAATAACAGACATTGCATAATTCTTCCAGATACTATATTTATGTTATTTTATTTCAAAAGCAAATAATCTTAATAAACATATTTCATAAATATTAATAAAAGCACTTATGAAATGCTTATCCACTCTGGACACTGATTGGTTTCAAAACATTTGTTTATTTAATATTCAGAAGAACAAGGGAAGGCACATTATATTATCCCCTTTTGTAAAATGAGGAAACTTAAATTTCAAGAGGTTGGATAACTTATTTAACGACTGAGAGAAAATCATGATAGAGTTGAGATTCAAGCACTCCAAAGTGAGAGAGAGTGTTTACATGATTTACTGATGCTCTATCCACTGAGCCAAACTTTCTAGGGCCAAATTCACTTATTAAATCTAGTAGTTTTTTTTTGTGTGAATTCTTTAGGCTTTTCTATATATAATATCAAGTCACCTGTGAATAATGACAGTTTTACGTCCTCCTTTCCAATCTGGATGCCATTTACTTATTTATTTATTTATTTATTTATTTATTTCTCATCTGAGAATATTTTTTCCATTGCTTTTTCAGACAGAGTAGAAGGGAGGGAGGGAGGGAGAGAGAGAGACAGAGAGAGAGAGAGAGAGGGAAAGAAAGAGAGAAACATCAATGTGAGAGAGAGAGACACATCCACTGGTTACCTCCCACATGTGCCCCAACAGGGGGCAGGGAGCAAACCTGAAACAGAGGTATGTGCCCTTCACCAGGAACCAAACCCACAACCCTTTAGTGTGCCGGCCAATACTCTAATTACTGAACCACATCAGCCAGGGCAATTATTAGCATTTTAATTATGATGTGTCTTGGTGTGGGCCTCTTTGGGTTCATCTTGTTTGAGACTCTCTATGCTTCCTGAACATGTGTGTGACTTTTTCTTTCACTGGGTTAGGGAAGTTTTCTGCCATTACTTTTTCAAGCAGGTTCCCTTTCCCTTGCTCACTTTCTTCTACTTCTGGTACTCCTATGATACATATGTTGTTACCTTTCATGTTGTCCCAAAGCTCCCTTAAACTGTCCTCCTAATTTTTTTTTAATCCTCACCTGAGGATATTTTTCCATTGATTTTTAGAGGGAGTGGCAGAGAGAGGGAAAGACAGAGAGAAATACTGATGTGAGAGAAACACATCAAATAGTTGCCTTCTACATGAGCCCCAACCAGGGCCTGGGATGGGGAGGAGCCTGTAATCAAGTACGTGCCCTTGACCAGAACTGAACCTGGGACCCTTTGGTCTGCAGGCCGACATTCTATCCACTGAGCCAAACTGGCTAGGCTGCTGTTTCTGCATTTATTGAGATTATCACATGATTTTTATCCTTCATTTTGTTAATGTGATATACCACATCTTGTGATTTGTGAATGTTGAACCATCGTTGCATCCCTGGAATAAATCCAACTTGATCATGGTGTATGAACCTTTTAATATATTTTTGAAATTGGTTTCCTACCATTTTGTTTAGAATTTTTTAAAAAATATATTTTATTGATATTTTACAGAGAGGAAGGGAGAAGGATAGAGAGTTAGAAACATCGATGAGCGAGAAACATCAATCAGCTGCCTCCTGCACACCCCCTACTGGGGATGTGCCCACAACCACGGTATATGCCCTTGACCGGAATCGAACCTGGGACCCGTTAGTCCGCAAGCAGATGCTCTATCCACTGAGCCAAACCGGTTAGGGCTTTGTTTAGAATTTTTGCATCTATATTCAACAGAGTTATTTATCTGTAATTTTCTTTTCTTGTGGGGTCCATGTCTGGTTTTGTTGTCAGGGTAACACTGCCATTGTAAAACGATTTTGGGAGTGTTCTCTTTTAGCTTTTGGTAGAGTTTGAGAAGAATGAGTATTCTTTCTATTTTAAATGTTTGTTAGGATTCACCAGTGAAGCTATTTTTTTGTTTGTTGGGAGATTTGATTATTGATTAAATCTCCTTACTCATTATTGTTCTGTTCAGATTTTCTATTTCCTCATGATTCAGTCTTGGTAGGCTATATGTTTCTAAGAATTTATCCATTCCTTCTAGGTTGTCCAGTTTTGGATGTATAATTGTTCATAGTCTCTTATAATCCTTTGTGTTTCTGTGGTATCAGTTATAATGTCTCCTTTTTCATTTCCAAATTTATTTATTTGAGTCCTGTATTTATTATTAAGTCTTGCTCAAGGTTTGTATATTTTGTTTATCCTTCCAAAAGTAGCTTAGTTTCATTGATATTTTCCTTTTCCTTTTTAGTCTATTTCATTTATTTATTTATTCATTTGTGTAATTAAAGTTTATTTACTTTTTATTAAAGTTTATAAACTTAAAATTAAAATTTCTGTTTCCTGGCCAAGGGAGGCAGATCTCTCCAGACAACAAAAACCAGTGCATAGCTCTGTGGATATATACACGTGCATGGTGGCTAGAGCCCCTTAACCAAAGTGTGTATGTCTCTGTCTTTACCCTGCCAAAATAAATGGGGTATTTTGACTTTCACAGAAAGTGCTGGCTTGTCTTGGTCTGTACTGAAGCAGTGCAGCCCTCCATAGCATGTGTTTGGCGGTTATGGCTTAAATGTGTGGCTAGATTGTGCTTTTTTCTTGAGCAGGGACCTTGTGTGCTCCATGCTCACACATGCTCTCTAAGTTCTCTTTAGACAGAGCTTCAGCTGCTACTTCAGCCTGGTTCTCAGATGGTGTGTAGGAGTCCTGGTACTCTTGAAGCAGTTTACTACCTCCAGGTGATTGAACTGCACAGCATCGTCCAGGGGAATGTTGCCCCACCTGTCCTTGACAAAAGGATTCATTTTTCAAGCATCAATCAGAAATTTAACAACTTCAATGTGTCCTTCAGCTGCAGCAACATGCAGGGCTGTGAGGTAGTCATAGCCTTTCTGTTCCATGTCCATGGCTGGCAGGGCAAACCTTCAAAAAGCTGAGACATCCCCACTATAGGCAGCAAATAACAGGTTTACCACAGTCTTGTTCCTAACTTCTCCCCTTTACACACCATGGGTCTACCTTCCAAGCACAGTGCCTCAGGTTGTCATAGCTGTGGAAATTGAAGAGAGACATCAACTTCTGGCAGAAACTGATGCCCCTATGGCTGTTTCCCAGCTTGTCCAGTGGAGGTGAGAGACATATCATTCCCATGACATTGCGTACCATCAGGAGGATGGTTCTTGACACAGCTGACTTGGCTGGCAGGCCCACACGGAAGGAAAACTGTCCTGAGAAGTCACACATGCCGCAGGAGTGCAGGAGGCTGAGGGTGTTGTGCACTGCTTCAGCGCTCAGCATGCTCTCACCTGTGATGGGCCAGATCCAACCATTGGCCAGGGTGGCTGCCATGACACTGCCTGTTTCATAGGTTACCTCCACAGAGCACAGCTGGAAGTAGAGATCAAGGGCAGCTATCATGTCTACCTCCTTAGGAAAGCACTTCTTTTCCTTTAGATAATAGCCGATGGCATAATTCTGATCCCATTTCCTTCTCTGACTGGAATGTGGCATTGCTGTAACCCACGTATTCATTTCTAGCCATTTTGTTCAGATCTTGCAACACAAAATCAAACTTCTCTGCTTTGTTACAGTCCTCTTGATCAGGGAGCTTATGACAATGGCTCCAGTATTGACCATGGGGTTATGGGAGATTCTTCCCTCATTGAGGGAGAGCTTGTTGTAGCGCAGGCCACTGGGCTCCTTGCTCCCAAACTTGTGCACATAGTCAGTGCCTAGATGGCATAGGTGAGGGGCTTGACACAGGACTGGAGGCAGAAGGGGATCTTTGTGTGGCCCACGAATGCCACTCTCTGATGAATCACTGCACCGCAAGCCTTACTAATCCTGGTGCTGCAGCTAGTGGCTATGCATCGTCTCCCTGCTCTGCGTTGTGGCCTCATGGAGATGGTGCCAGATGTCCTGCCAAGGAGGGGGCTCTGGCTCAGATGACCCCAGCCTCCCCTCCAGCAGTGACTGCTGGCCCTGCTCAGCGCATTCTGCAGAGCCTTCATAGAGTGCATCCCCCCAGCATGTCACCCGTTCCGACAGAGCACCCAGGGCATCTCTATTTCTCTATTTCATTTATATCTGCTCTGTTCTTTGTTATTATCCCTCTAATTGCCTCTAGTCTCAGCCTTTTACAATCTGTTCTCTGCCTCTGGATCCAGAATAAACTTTATACAAGAACATTTGATATCATTTCCTTTTTATAATCCTTTATTGGCTCCCCTCAGGAAAAAAAATCCAAAAATTTTAATATATATTACAAGATCCATTACTCTCTTGGCCCTGGTTTATTTTTACAAACTCATCTCTAGTTTCCTCCTCATCACCTGGATCCCCACTCTCACCGCAGGGTGAGACTGAGAGGTCTGGCTACACTGAACCACTACACAACCCTAAAGTTTTCCCTCTTTATTTCTTTTTCTCTCTGCCTCTGTCCCGTCCTACTGTCTTTCTCTCTGTATCTCTTCCTCTTCTCTCTGGCTCTTTCTCTCTCCACCTCTCTTTTTTTCTATTCATCCCCTCTCTCTACTCCCACCCGCACCCCCATGGCTCTTAGAAAAATGAGTTTAATGTATTTATTAACAACGCATAGTACTTTCAAATAACATAATGAAGTTGGTGAACACAATTTATATGTAAAGATAAAAGCTGAGTTTTGGATCAAAGTAGATTAATATTGTTGCTTCTGATTGTTTAATACCCCTTGGTCCTGAGGACGCAAAATGTTTTGGCTGTGGCAGCCTAATATCCTTTCTTTGGAATTGTCACTGAAAACTTACTCCACATGTACTTGATATTAACCTTAACTGAGTTACAGATTTTTTAAAGTCTCATAAACAAAGTATCTAATATAACAGTAAGTATTTCTTTTGGTATTTGAAGGGGAAATTGAAATACTACCTCATTTGAAGAATTTTCCTGGGAACTTGACACAGGAACAATTTCATCTGAATTAACACAGCTGCTGACATTTGGAAATAGTTCATCCAAAGATGATTTTTGTACTGAGGACAGATCAATCTACAAAAGAATATATTACTCTTTTGTAGAAGTTAAATGTTGCAAAACCAGTTATTTTTAAATAAAGGAAAATTGAAACATACTATTTCATTAGAAGCTTTGTGACATAGAACTTGACATATGAACAATCTTATCTGAGTTAATATAATTGCTGACAGTTTGGAAATAGTTCTCCAAAAGATGCATGCTCAACTGGGGAGAAATCAATTTATAAAGAAGATTATAATACTCTTTAACTTTCAAGTTATTATTTAAATAGGTATTTTATTAGCTTCAGTATCGTGTAATTTTTTTCTTATTCTTCATCCAATTAATATTCATAAGGGGCCTATTAATTGAAATCCATCTACCCTTTCTGTGAGCCAAAGGACTGAGATAGACAAAGAAACAGAGTCAGAGACAGAAAAGGACAGATAGAAAGAGAGATCAAGACAGGTTGGTGGTACAGTATTCTAATCTTCTTTACTTTACGTATAGCAATATATAGAATACTTCCAATGAAAGTATGCTTGTGCAATGGCAAAATAAAAATACTATTGTCTGTGTGCAATATCCCCCTGGGGTGACAGAAACAGAATAAAGGGGAGCAAGAAAATAGGTTCTACGTGTGCAAATACGAATACTTACCTCTAAACCAGCTGTTTGCGAAGTCGGAGTACTTGTTAACAGGCCTCTGCTTTTCTTATCAAGAATAGTGGGGTTTGTGTTCTATCAATGTTTTGTGAAATAGGGGATTGAATAGCAGAAAGAAATAAACTACTTTAATACTGTAAAAACGCAATTTAAAATTAGTAGACTAAATCATAATATATTATACTAATAAAAATTTAATCTGCTAATTATATTTTTAAACCATTAGACAGGTAACTAAAGAATTTTCTGGCTTGAGCTAGGTCAAACAACTCCCAAAAAAACTTTATGTGGTGCAACAACTATTTGAGAATACTTTGGTTGAAATCACTACTAATTTAGGAAGAAAAGCTAATTAAAGTTTTCAATTATGAAATGGTGCTTTGATTATCTTTGTTAACTCCTAAGAAAGATATTTTACTTATAGCATTTGTTTAATTCCTATTATATACTGGAATTTATGGAAAGGGATTATAAATTATTTCTGAAGCTGTTAAAACATGTAGCAAGGATACTTGATTTAAAATACACACATTTGAATGCATATAGATATTTTCATTTATGGAACATCAAAGTTAAAGAAAGTACAAAGCAGGATACAGACTAATTTTCTATTTCTTTTTTTTCATTTTCTATTTCTTGAAGATGCAGAGGCAAAGAGACAAATTAAGAGTGAGAGACAGAGAAGAGAAAGAAACAGGATTAGAGGCTAAAGAGTTTAAGAAAGAGAGGGAAGGACTGTTAGAGAGAAAGATAGAGAGAGAGGGGAGGAAGGAAAGAAAAAAGAGAGAAGAGAGGAGGAGGAGGAGGGAAGGAAGAAGGGGAGAATTAAGAGGTGGGGATTAAAGAAGAAGAGATAGAGAGGATGGGGAGATAAAAGAGAGAAAGAAAAATAAAGGAAGATTAAGAGGAGAGAGGGAGGGAGAAGAACGGCAGATAAGACAAAGAACAGAGACTAAGCAGAAAAACTGAGATTGATAGTAAAAGAAAGAGTCAGAGACAGAAAAGAACACATACAGAGAGATCAAAACAGAGACTGGGAGGAAAGAGAGACAGAGTTTGAGACTGAGAGACAAAACCAGGGAGAGCAAAGACAAAGAAACAGTGATAGAGTCAAAAAGAGAGAAGATAGGAAGCTTCCTTTCTAGCCATCAACTGCCTTTCAATTCTTAGATTCCATGAAACAACCATATCCCTCAGATAAATGTCTGAATAGGTGTCTATTATATGCTGCCAAGTCTGGAACACAAACTCAGAGTTAAAACTTGAACAGCATAGGAAAGTTTATTAGATTTATTTTTCCTTTATTTCCTCTTTGCTTTCTTTCAGGATTAAAAATCTCTGAAACTGCCAGCATGGCTCAGTGGTTAGAGTGTTGGCCCATGCATTGGAAGGTTTTGGATTTGATTCCAGTAAAGGGCATATACCTGGGTTGTAGGTTTAATCCCCAGGCCCAGTCAGGATGGGAACAGGAGGCAACCAATCGATGTGTTTCTCTCACATCGATGCTTCTCTCTCACTTATCCCCTACCCCCCCTCCCTTCTACTCTCTCTAAAAATCAATGGAAAAAATATCCTTGAGAGAGGGTTAACAGGGGGAAAAAATAACACTCTGAAAATAGTTGTTTGTTCAAGACATAATCTGGAATAGTTCATTAGAAATCTTTTTTATCAAAATAATAAGAACAAGCCCAGCTGGTGTTGTTCAGTGATTGAACGTTGACCCATGAACCAGGAGGTCATGGTTCGATTTCTGGTCAGGGCACATGCCCAGGTTTCAGGTTTGATCCCCAGTAGGGGGGCGTACAGGAGGCAGCCAATCAATGATTCTCTCTCATCATTCATGTTTCTATCTCCCTCTCCCTCTCCCTTTCTCTTTTAAATTAATAAAAAATAATATACATATACATATATAAATGTTTAAAAAATAATAAGAACAAAAATGTTATGAGCATATTTACCTGGTACACTGAATATGACATCTAATTTATTAGCTATATAATCTTTTAATTTCTTCACCTGAACAATAAGGATTATTCTACCCCTAGGGACTACCATGCAAACGTTACAAATAAAACATATATAGAGAACCTCTGGTGCTTGGAGAGTAGGAGATACTCAATGATAACTGTTATTACTATTACTGTGGCAGCCATGCAGGTGCTCTGCTCAGAACTTGAACAAAGAACCTCCTGGTCCACTGCAAGGGGTGCAGCTAGCTCTCAGTCCACTGCAAGGGGTGCAGCTAGCTCTCAGTCCACTGCAAGGGGTGCAGCTAGCTCTCAGTCCACTGCAAGGGGTGCAGTTAGCTCTCAGCCACTGCAAGGGGTGCAGTTAGCTCTCAGTCCACTGCAAGGGGTGCAGTTAGCTCTCAGTCCACTGCAAGGGGTGCAGCTAGCTCTCAGCCACTGCAAGGGGTGCAGTTAGCTCTCAGTCCACTGCAAGGGGTGCAGCTAGCTCTCAGTCCACTGCAAGGGGTGCAGCTAGCTCTCAGTCCACTGCAAGGGGTGCAGCTAGCTCTCAGCCACTGCAAGGGGTGCAGCTAGCTCTCAGCCACTGCAAGGGGTGCAGTTAGCTCTCAGCCACTGCAAGGGGTGCAGCTAGCTCTCAGTCCACTGCAAGGGGTGCAGCTAGCTCTCAGTCCACTGCAAGGAGTGCAGCTAGCTCTCAGTCCACTGCAAGGGGTGCAGCTAGCTCTCAGCCACTGCAAGGGGTGCAGCTAGCTCTCAGCCACTGCAAGGGGTGCAGCTGGCTCTCAGTCCACTGCAAGGGGTGCAGCTAGCTCTTAGTCCCCAGCGACAGCATATTTAGGATCTGCTTCAGTTTTCAGGCTGAGGCCATTATCTTTTCAGGCAAACCTCAGCCAACGTCTGAGCACAAAAGCCCAACATAAGATTCCTATAATGGCAATCTTTGCTCCAGACCTCCCCACTGGGAGAGCTTCTGTCAGATCTGCAGTGAAGATTGGGGTTCTCTTCCTCAGTACTGCCTACGGAGGTGGCAGCCATCTCCTACTCAGCACCATGGCTGCCCTTAGGCCACCAAAAAGAGGACCAAGAAGTTCATCCGGCACCAGTCATACTGATATGTCAAAATTAAGCGTAATTGATGGAAAACTAGATGCATTGACAATAGGGTGCAGAGAAGATTCAAGGGCCCGATCTTGATGCCCTTGGTTATGGGAGCAACAAGAAAACAAAGTACATGCTGCCAAGTGGCTTCCTGGTCCACCACATCAAGGAGCTTGAAGTGCTGCTTATGTGCAACAAATCTCACTGTGCTGAGACTGCTCACAGCATCTACTCTAAGAACCGCAAAGCTACTGTGGAGAGCAGCCTAGCTGGCCATCAGAGTCACCAATCTAATGCCAGACTGTGCAGTGAAGAAAATGAATAGACAGATTGTGTGCACATTGTATTTGTGTTAATAAAACCATGAAATTCTGGCATTAAAAAAGAGACTGAGGCTACTCCTGCCCAATCCTGCTTCCTCGCTGCTTTCATTTCTCATGTATTACCTGCTCCAATACACCATATGAACTCTTAATTCTGTCTGAATATTTTTGTACCAAGTGACATAATTGTCAACTATCAGTCCAATTACAAAACATTTACCTGTATACAGCTGTAAGTATAGCACCTCTACATTTCCCCCTAGATTTGTTAAGAAATTATGCATATCTAAATCCCAATAAGTACATTTTCTTTTCATAGTTTTTTCAGGAAATAGTAAAAGACTAGTGCTTACCAATGCAGGTTCCAGCGGCTGAGACAGCAGAACTTTGGTAACTGATTTACCACCTGCATTGCTTTCAAGAACAGACCTCTGTTGAGATGATGGAACCTTGATTTTTAGAAGAGAGCTTAACTTTCTTTGAAAATTTGTGTCTCTAGGTTCAGGATCTTTTCCAGGCTGAAACAAATTCATAATCATGAAATACCATCCACAGGCTATAAAAAATGTGTAGCACTTCTTAGATGTCTTATTTTTGTTGTAAGCTATAATAATAAAACTGTAATATGCTAATTAGACTAGAAAGCCAAATGGCCTTCTGGACATCCTTCCGGACGAAGCCGCAGTGGTTAGAGGCAATCAGGCAGGCAGGAGAGCAGGTAGGGGTGATCAGGCAGGCAGGCGAATGGTTAGGGGTGATCAGGCAGGAAGGCAGGAGAGTGGTTAGGAGCCAGCAGTCCTGGATTGCAAGAGGGATGTCCGACTGTCAGTTTATGCCCGATCCCACAGCGGGACTGCCAGACATCCCCGAGGGGTCCCAGATTGCAAGAGGGTGCAGGCCAGACTGAGGGACCCTCCCCGCCCCCGCACAAATTTCGTGCACCGGGCCTCTAGTATATGTTATAATTGTTACAATTAAGATATATATTATCCTATTATCTATCCTCTCAATTTGAAAAAAGTTTTAAACAAAATATTTTTTTTAATTTAAGATTTTCTAGCCTGGCTGGTGTGGTTTAGTGGTTGAGCATTGACCTATGAATCAGGAGGTCATGGTTCAATTCCCAGGCAGGGCACATGCCTGGTTTGCGGACTCCATCCCCAGTAAGGGGCGTGCAGGAGGCAGCTGATCAATGATTCTCTCACATTATTGATGTTTCTATCTTCCTCTCCCTTCTTTTCTGAAATCAATAAAAAAAATTTTTAAAGTATGATTTTCTATACAATATTTAAGGAAAAAATATGTTGCAAGACAAAATGGTTTTCAATATACTCAGCTCAAAAAATTTCCCTACCACATTTAAGGTAAGATCTCCCAAAAAGTGTTTTGTTAAAAGAAAACAAATGATAATTAGATCTATCTATTGCTCAATATTTAAAACTAAGTCTTAGAGAAAACATTAAATATGTCTTCATTATGCAATAATCATCATCCACGATCCTTCTCCTGTCATATCCCTTCCTTTTCTACCACCATCCATCATAAGTACTTTTTTATCCCATTCTCTTTATAATTACTTTCTTATCCTTTTCTCTTTCCTAAAACTCAAATATTCTTTCCTCAGCTGTGTTTAACCCATTAATGAGTCCATCAAAGGCATTCTTCATTGCTGCTATAATGTTTT